CAGTCGGGGGATGACGATCGGCTGAGGATCGTGTCCTGGGATTTGGTTTTTGGCGAGAAACCCGATTCGTGTCTTTAGTACAACTTGATCGTCCATAAAAGCGCCACAACCGTCCGCGAAGGATATTGCGTGCCTAGCTTTGATCGGCGCCTACCTGAGGCGAGGGCCAGTAGGAAGACTATTTTTCCACATCAAAAATTTGAGTGGTGCTGATTGGAGAGGCTCAAAGGGCGGTCTGCTTAGAGCAGACAACACAGCCGACGAGTCCCCGTTGGGCGGCTCCCTTGTATGGGGTCTTGGCATCTGGAAAGCAGTAAATAGTCTCCTAATAATAGGACAATCGGCTAGTCTTGTTCCCGTATGCTCTGAGTGGTGGGGGACAAGACCAACCTGTAGCCAACGCTCGCTGCGTAGGACAAACTCACTTCGTCAAACAGGTGGACGAAGGAGCCTGCTACCTGGCCAATAGATGGATGGTATGGATCAATCTCCCTTCCGCTACACGAATCAGTGTATGCTTGCAGCCTAGAAATGTAGGCTGCATAGGTGGAATCCCTGTTCGCCCTGGCCAGGACGTTGGCAGCCTGCTCAGATAAGGCTTTCGTATGTGCAGGTCTACTGAGAGCCTCTATGCGTGTAAGTGATACCTGCTGGCTCGTTGGTAGTGTGCCGTCTGGTTGGGACGTCAGGCCCGGTAAGTCCGGAAGCACTGCTGGCGCTTCGACTAGCATTTCCAACAGAAGTGGAAACTAGGCCTTGCTTGACCAATTGGGTGCAACCCATGATAGTATGCGGGTGTGCACCTGTCAAAGCTTTACTCCGGTGCCCGGTGAACTAGCGGGAAGGGAGGAAAAACTTACACAACTAAGTGGGTCCACGGGGCAAGCAAAGCGACCCTGGCCCAGGCTCCTGGAGTCAGCAGGAGTGTTACGTATGTCGGGAGCTTAGCGTTCCGGAGTGCGGCAAAACGGTCCAACCTTGGACCGCCCCACGGCCGAAACAGCCTAGAGGCTACCCACTGGGGTATCAGCTACTCCGTGTTCTGGAGACAGAGCCGCACTGAAAGGGCGTCACCAGACTTTTCTTCACCCCTGGAAGGTGGTGTGCGGTTAGCTCCACATTGTATTCCAGGCACCAAAGGAAGATTTTGCTCCGCTAGGACTGACAACGATGGGGAATGCATCCCCCCTCCTTCTTGAAGGAGACCACCGCTGCATTGCCTGTGTGGAGCAGGACTCTGTGGTCTCGAACTACGGGTAGAAAGCGTGGTAGTGCTAAGTATACTGCTCTCAGTTCGAGCCGGTTGATATTGTAGTCCCGAAACTAATGCGGGGGCCATATTCTTGGGCTTATTGGCCCAATAGATGCGCTCCCCAACCCTAGGGGGAGGTATCTGTTACCAGAGTCATACATGCGACGAGCGGGCCCAAGGGGCTCCCTGTCTGAGGTTGGCCAATGACGACCACCAGGGCAGGGCTTCCTTCACTTGGTCCGAGATCGAAACACGCCTATCTAGTTCCCATAGGAGAGCTCGGCGTTATAACAAGCGTTATACCGGGCGGCTGCGTAGTGCGGCCTGGGGAACGACCCTTCGAACCGAGGTCATCATTTCGATGATCCGTATTAGTTCACGGAGGGACACCGAGGGAACGCTGACTAGGCATTCGGCTAGGCTGCCTAGCGCTAAGCAATACACTTGAAATAGCTAAGCCAAGCTTACCTCTGTGTCAATACTCCATGCCCAGGGACACCAACTGCACGTTGGGTCGAGGTGGGACTTGTCGATTTACTAATGAGCCCAACTGGTGAAGTAAATTCCGTGTTAGCCTGACGCGTTTGGCTATTACCCCTTGTCCGGGTTGTTGGTAACCGGAAGTCTGGGTACGGATTGAGGTGTACGGACATCTGGTGAAGCAGCAGCACTACCTGTTTCATCACTCTGGTGAACACGTAGGGTGCTGTGCCTAACCCGAATGGGGAGGCCCCCGGGATTCGAATACTTGGCCCAGCTGGGCGATTCGAAGGAGATGGCGACTCACTGGGTGCATCGGTACGTGCAGGTAGGCCCCACTTAAGTCTAGCGGGGCTAGCCAGTCAAAACGGTGGATGGAGAGAAGAACCCTGAATGGTGTCTCCATGTGGAAGCGATTGAGGAGCACGTACTGATTCAGTCTGCCTAGGTCCAAAACTGGACGCCTGCCATTTGTAGACTTGGTACTACGAACACATTTGAGTAGAAGCCTGGCCTTAGCTCCGGCTGATATACCCTGTGTATGGCGTCTTTCCCCAGCAAACTGCTACTTCCTGTCTGATTGCTTCCGCCTTGTGGGAGTCCCCTGGCAGTGCCCAACAGGGGAGACACTGACGGGGGGAAATGGAGATTTCAGCGGTATCCCTGTAAACTGATGTCACCACCTGGAAAGGTCCGGGGATCGGTCACCCGTCATCTCCAAACCGGACTACACCGGCGCAATCTGTGTACGACAGGGATATGTGGCCATGTGTTCGGCAGTTGCGAGGGAGGGTGCTTCCTTCCCCCATGAGGTGAGTTCCCCAAGGCCTGAAGTAGTCACTAAGTTGTGACCTGGCCATTCACCGAACACGTGCCTGTCTCCCCCCCCCCCCGGTTGCAGAGGTGAGCGTCAAACATGCCTCCCCTGCTGCCGGGTAGACGTCCGCCCAGGGAGGGTGAGGAGCCACCACCTGGCTCTTACCTCCCTGGGGGCGTGCTACTACCCTCCCCTCCCATGGAAGGGTATAAGCGCTTGCCTCCTGGCTGACTCCAGCTAGCGGACAACGCCCTAGGGCATTGTGTTTTCTGTGCTTGGGGTGCCCTCCGTTTGCCCATGGCAGGACCAACTGGCTAGCGGATTCAATGTGAACCCTCTGGTTCATTGCACTCCGAAGCTCCGAGACTGTACCCACCATTCCCTGAACAAAGAGGGTGGAGGAAGTCCAGTCTGCGTCACTGAGGTGGGGACGTATCAGCTTGTCGGCGAAAACATGTGCGTCTAAGGCCACGTCCCGTAGCACGGTAGTGGCCCTGGCCAAGAGAGCCAGGCGACACTAGGGGGTGTCACATGTAGATGTGCGGTGGCCCACCAGTAAAAATGTTGCTTGGTCTAGGAGGCTGGTGCGTTCTGCCTCCAAGGTCTCCAGAGTGCTGGCCACGCATAATGTGCTCCAGCAACTCTGCCCTCAGGGCTAGATGGGTCGTCTTTAATTGGAAAGGACACCCATGGAACGCAGCTATCCCCCTTTGCCCGGTTTGCCAAATTCGTGGTACCGGGGTCTGGGGAAGGAGCCTTGGAATCCGGTTGGGGGCGTTTTGGTCTCATTTCACGCTATGGGGTCTGATCCCGAAACCACACCAACCGGGTAGCGTTTAGTTCAGTGGGAAGTGTTGCCTAATGTTATCCCCACCTGGGGGCCTTAAGCATTACATCCTCCACGGCTGACCAACGCCGCCCATCAACACCGTTTGCATGCTCTGCACCCCACTCCGCACTCAGGCAGACAGGGAGAGACTTGCCGACGGGGTTGCTTTGGATCCCGACGCCTGTGATCCCATAAGCGTTGAAGCAACCTTAGGTGGTTGCTTTAGGATCAAGGGTGGGGGTATATACATCGTATCACTGGGATCGATGATACTCCGCCTCACCCCAAAAGTGTGGCTCACCGAGTCATACAGATGGAAGACTCTGAGGGACCGCCCGGAGTACCGGCTGTATCCGACGCGAGCGAACTGCATCTCCTTTCACTTTAAATATGTGAGAGGGAGCGTGTTCGACTGTGCGTCTCATGACAAGGTCAGTTCCCTCTGGGGACGCCCTAGGGTCGATAAGAAGGAAGTCAAAACCCACAGCGAGGACCGGACACAAGGAAAAACTCGTTACCGTTGTACAGTTACCACGTGACGAACCCTAGCTAGCTGAAAGTAGGGGGGGTCAACGTGTGCCCAGCCCTGAAAGCCCTGCCTCGAGATCGGAGACTTGACTGCCAGCACCCCATTGGCATTCAGTGCCAGAGGACCAGAGAAGGACCGGTGCAATTAGCCTGAGCCTCGGCCAACCCCCAAAATAGTGAGAGGGCCATGCCTGGGAACGGGGGTTCCCCGGAAGAGACGTGTTTGAATGCAAACATGCTTTCGTGTCTCTTCCTGCTTGCCCACCGAGGGGACACAGTGGAGACAGCTCGCTCCGACTGCGTCTAATCTACCCGGCCTGCCAGGGACGCAATTGCCCCGACAGTCCTTCGACCAAAGCCCTCAACTCGGAGGCAAACTCGGTGCCGTGCGAGGAAGGGTCCACGAAGAGACCCGCAACGGGCCCCATAGGAGAAAAGCCTCCAGGGGCACAGCCTCGCTGCAGCCGGTAAAATCGGGTAAAAACACCGCCTGAAAAAACAGACTGTGAGGATGCCCTATGATCAGCGGGGGAGACCGATAAAAATATCGGTACCTTCGCCATCGGGCCTCTTACTGGACGTCCCGGTACATGAAGTACCGGTAGCCGAGCGTGAGGATTTTCCACTCATGCAAAACACGCAACTCACTTTAACCGATTTGTTTACTGGACGCGCGACCTTGCTGTGACGTGGTCAGTGTCAGCGATTTTGATGGCTCTGAAAGAAAATCTCAGGCCTCAGAACTCCAGTGAAAAAAACACGCTTTCACGCAAAAACCCCGAAACCCGCACATAGCCACGACAAAGTATCTCGGATGCGGGTTCTATGCTGGTAAATTCAGAATAAACCACTGTACGGTCGGCTCGAAACACGAGGAGACCGGAAAGAAAAAGGCAGCGAGCCTTGGTGCTGTCATTACATCGATATATTGCTAAATACATTGAAAATAAAAGACGACATGCATGAGGGAAAACGAATTACAGTTGTAAAAGGTGGCCTCGGTCACGTGGGTTCGTGACGTAAGGGGTAAAAGAATCTTGAGGTCATGGGGCTTCCCCTGACCTGGATTCTATCTCTCCGTCACCGGCAGAATCGCTGATTAATGCCTACAGTTCAAAATAGTCATTTTGACTGACCGGAGTCTATGGTCGGTAATTGAACGTAGTGAATACAGCAATGTTTACCTTAGTGACGATAAATGTCAAGTCTATAATGAAGTGAAATCAAAGATGAAAAACATTTCTTGCTCAAATGTAAACTATATATGAGTGAAAGTGATCCACAATTCACAGATACCGTAGAACATCAAATAGAGAAAAAAATATAGCCATCATGACCAGTGAAACGACAGAATAAAAACTGCGCTGTCAAAATGTACATAAAATGGTCTCCAATTATGGAGGAAAATCTTACTGTCAACTGCCTCATTTTTGTTTAAGTATTTTTTTGCTACTCAAGCATGTGTAACTGTTTTTTGTTTTTTCTTGTTTACATTTTTATACTAATTTATAAAAATCCAAACGAAGATACGTTTATTGTTAGGTATGTATGTGCAAGCAAGCAAAAAGACAAACACCTAGAACAGTCACAATTGATACCAATCTGAATTAATACATGTATAATGCAAATAGAACTAATACTGACCCCTGCTTTCCCCGCACCATATGCGACATTGATAAAGTACATAAGGCCACCTGGTGACGAGATGTTGATAATCAAACCCTGCTTTGCTGGTACCATCATTCTTGCTGCAAACACTGATGCAACATAATGGCCCCTAAATACAAGAAATATGGAAATACTCAATTAGGCATAGTATTGTATAATGATGATTAAAAAACAATTTTGGCAATTAAGTATACGTGTTCCAGTGACTGTAACATTGGAGACTGTTAACCCATAAAACAAGATACCCTATCTGCTGAATCAGTAGTGTATATACTTCCATAAATTACAGAAGCATATTCACAGTCAAAAAAATTATATTTTAATAATCCTGCATACAATAAATGGAATTTCTTGCTTATGTGTGCTTCTATTAGAGATACACTTCAAACAAATCATGCATGGCACAGTCCCTGTTATCAAATTTAAATAGATTTGTTTATAGTAATATAAACTTTAATTGGATTTAAAGTTTATTTGAATTTTATTTGATGTTATAACATGTGAACTGAGGTGAAAATTGGATTCCTCACTTCAAGTCTAGTTACATAGGGTTGTGAGCCAACATTTTTAATTGAAATCACGGTATTTCTTATCTATCTCACTATTATACTTGTCAAATATTTAATAAAAATTGAAAAACTTACCTGAGTCCAACATTATTCACAGTATCCCACAATTCAGGTTCCAATTCCCAGAATTTTGTTGCTGAGAAACCAGATTGAGTCAATGCCTGAATAATTAGAAATAACTTGGATATGAACTTGAAGCTGGAGACCCAGAGTTCTGGGGGAACCAGTACAAATGCATATTACAGCGTATGACATGTGTACTGTGTTACAAATCGATTACAGTTTCAGTAGTCACTGGGTTGGGTTGGAGTGGCTTGTTAGCTGGAGTATATATATCTGGTAATGTCACTTACCGGTATGTGCGGGCTTTGAATAAGAACACATATGATTATGGTTTGATTGACAAACCTCATTAATGGTGGTAAATGTTACCATTACATGTACCTTATGATGACGCATGCACTGTGGAATACGGGGGAAAAGGGCCTGAAAGCAGCGCACTATGTAGACACATCTCATGAATATTATTTCAAAGTACAATTTTTAATAGGAAGCATTTAATATGAAATGCCAGAATCACATATATTTAGTCTTGATTCCTCCCCCCCTCTGTCTATTGTGGTTTTTCGAAGACTGTACTCGCTTTCTAGACTGGTCACCAAATTTAACAAGTGTCTGTGTTTACACTGTTTGCTGGTGTGAGTGTTGGCAAGCCTAAATAAGTTTTGATTGTATATAGCGCCAGTGTCCATGTCAAGTAAGTTTAATTAACTCTTTGTGTGCCATATTTTTTCTCATCAAAATTTTGTTACAAGAATTTGCCTATTTTTATGTATTTTTTAAAACAATTTTTGGAACAAATGGACATAATTTTCTATTGATGACAAATTGTCATCAACATTTTGGAGCAAAAATTAAGTTGAATACTAGTATCTTGGAGAGAAATGCATTGTTTACCCCAAAACACATCATTTTAAAAATTACACACAATGAAATTTTCAACTTCAAGTACAAAAAACAAACAACTGACAATTCACAAGAACAAAACAAAAACAAGTACACTACAAGGAAAAGATATATGGAGCCTGTGTGTGGTTAATTTTTGTTGTCTAATCACTATTTTTATGAGCGAGATACAGGGGGTATAAAAGGCATGATTTTTTTTTAGATTTTTCAGTGACAATCACCTAAAATCAAACTAAAACACTTACAACTTTTATTTCCCCTTCAACTTTTTCACTCACTTTTGATTTGATAATTTGACTGCATTGATGTCTCCTGAATTTCCAGACTAGTAAAATCCTAGATCTCTTTATCATAATTAAAACAGTTCGTGGTACTTACTTTTACTGCAGCGTAAGCATTGTTAACCAAGAGATCCAGTCGTCCATTTTGTTCTTTGTTGATTTTATCAAATAATTCTTCTACTTGTTTATCATCTGTGTGATCACATTTCACTGGTATACAGGTGCCACCACGTTCTTCGACCTGTTCATATCAACATACATCTCATATTATAGAACCATAACAGCACTCAAACTCAATAGCACATAAAATGTCTTTGTTACACATTGTTCAAACTGTAAGCTGGCATATTAAAGTAGAAGCATACTCATATATTAAGAAACCCAGAATTTATTCATTTTGCAATAAATTGTACTCCAAACCAATATAAGAATATTGACCTAAAAAAAGTTGGGGGTCACCAGCCTTTTTTTCAAGAAAATGATGGTTGTATTTTAGTGGAAAGTCACCATTTTGTCACTATTATAACACTTTTACATAGGTTCTCATGGCAGAGATAGTATGCAATATCTCAAAATCTAGCCTGGTGACATAGGTTGAAAAAATCATATATTGTTAATGATGGAGTTCTTTTTTGTTGTTCTGAATTATTTAAAAAATCTGGGTTTTAAAAAGTGTCAAAAAATGCATTTTTTCTTTAGCATTGTGTTGCAATTTTCATGAAATATTAGGACATGTTTCTCAAAAAATAATACTATTTCATTGTACCATGGGAAAATAGCTTCATGATTGTACATAATAAACTAATGAACATTAATATGTGATTTATGACCAATTTTGTCAAAAATTATGACTAGGCTTCTACCTTAAGGGGCAGTGGGTCCCATAACTCCCATATAACTCATAGCAACGTATTATCCTGGAAATAAATCATGGTGATTTACACATGGCTCAACGCATTTAACCCTTATTCTTGACCAGATGTGAGTTAATTGTATGAATTCAATTATTTGTATTTTAACCAAAATACTAATTCAACTGTTCTAAATGTAAGTACCTGTTTTGCGGTTTCCTGTAAGGATCCTGGTAATGGTGTGTCATTCGGTGAAAAAGTTCGACCTACAGGATTACAAAGTACAATACGATGGGTTTGGTGCCAAAACTTTGGAATGTACGAAGGCCTTGAAATTACTGTAAACTCCTTCAAATTTGAGAGAAAAAAAATTTACCAAATTTGACATGTCGGTGAAAATCACAAAATTGAAAAGTGTCATTGTCTTTTGCAAATTTTGTATTCACAAAAACCATAAAATTCTGAAATGATTTTACAGTATATATTTTCCCGGTAAAATCAGTTAAATATGAAAGAAAGTTGTCATAATTTTTGGAGAGAAAAAATTTGAACAAAATACAATTTTTATAACAATTTTAAAACATGCACCCACACCGATTATAGAAATTAAATTGAACAGAAACTGGTTATATTTTAATCTGGGCATAATACTAGATTGAATAAATATTGAAATTCCACAAAATGAAAGACTGAACCTGAATACCAATGTTTCACTGTACACACGGCAAAATGAAATAATTTCATCTTATATATATATATGTGTTTGTGTTGCCTGTTTACCAAGTGACTAATGTATTATGAAAACATTTTATTTGACTTGTTTAACCGTCTTTGTTTATTTGTTTATATGTTTTTGTTTTATCCGAGTTTTAGCTAAACGAAGGATATAATTATTTGTGTTTATTTACGATGACTCAACAGAAAAAAAAATCAGTATTCAGGCATTGAGCCACCTATACGTACCTGTTATGTAAACCGTGGCCCCAGCTTCTCCGAGTTGCAATGCAATTCCTTTACCGATGCCACGACTGGCACCAGTTACTACGCAAACTTTACCCAACAATGGACGTGACATTATCTTGATCCCGAATATCACAGTGGTAAATACGCTTATCTGAATGTAACCGTACCAGGTTTGCTCTGCTACGCAAGCTCCTTAACGCCAGGGTTCCATGCCTTAACCACAGTAACTGTGCTTCAACTCAGCGTCTGGGTCAAAGGTTGTTTATTTATCACAAACTGACTTGGCTAGGGGGTCTACTCAAACTCCGGTCAAGGCATAAGGGGGTTGGCCATTGGACATTCTTGGGGTAAATGGAAGTTATCTGCGCAAAGAGGTGGAATAGAGGAAAGCAAACACAAAAATGAAATAAAGCCAACGTTTAGCGGTCGTAATAGTTTCACTGTAATTAAAAGGTATTGGCTGAAATGTAAAATCTGTTGGAGGCAATCAACTTGAATTTTCGAGGACGGGTTCTCATAAACAAAAGTTGAAATTTGTACATGGGTTTGTTTGGAAAAATCTCTTAACGTGTATTCGGTGCCGTGATAATGTCTTTCTTTTTTACTCAGCATCAGCATCCTATATGGTGCAAAAATTCTGCCTTGCTATCAATTACTAGGCCCCACTATAATTTTGATTTAAGCAAACGCGTGTTGAAACAATTTTTTTGGGGAAATTTAACGTTGACATTTCAATGCAATTGTTTTATTTGCTTGTGTTCAAATTTCCTTTACTAACGCAATTGTAGCCATGGGTACCACCATATAACTCTACTTTAGACAATTCTCGTTCTGTTCATGCGAGATTTGTGACTCTTCGTCAATTTTTCAATTTTTATTTTCGATTTTGCCGGTGCCGAATCGTCACAAGTAAAAAATCAGCAGAGCTTTGGGCCCACAGCTCACGCCTCAGTTCGGCTACAGGGAGCCCAGGAACTATGATCAACTGTACGCTCTCCCTACGAGCGGGGTGGGGGTGTATCGGCTGGTATCTAGTGTAAGCCCCCGCTCATAGGGAGTGCGTACAGTTAATTATAGTAACTGGGCTCCCTGTCGGAAGTAAGCGCAGCACTATGTCACACTCTTGAGATAATATGCTTATCCATAAATAACCCGTCAAAAAAACCAGTAACGTATGTAAATTTATGGAACGAAATTTAAATAACTGTGATGCACTTTATCAGTACTGGAAGTTACTTGGATTAATTAGGTCCATCGAGAATATAATTGAAAAGTTTAGTGCACATGCACACTGAATGTAATTACATTATTTAATCGTGTGTCCATGAGAATTTGAAAGATGGCCGATCATGGAGAGTTCAGTACAGTTTAATATTACCAACGAGAAGCGAAAATTTAAGAAAAATAAACAATGTCGATCTAACAAGTGTGTCCTCCCCATCACTGATTGCAATTTGAATGTCTGGAGTTTTTGAAAATATTTCATTTCAAGTTATTATCTGAGGGATCTGAAGACCGCTTTTGATATATTATAGAAATATATTTATTTTGGTCTAATCACTATATTTACGGTTTTGAGAATGCACTGGTGACACAATTACTCCTTTTGAAGTTAATTCAAACAGTGGCTGTATTCCGTGAAAAGTCTCCAGTAGACATAGGTCGACACATTTTTTTTTGGAGAAGTTGAGGTCAGTAAAATTGAAATTGATGAGTTTTTATGTTACAGGGTTTTTGCCAACATCGAAAACTACTAATTATATAAGAAATATTATGTAAACTCTTTAACATGTAAGATTTGGTGTAAGAACGGTCGCACTATGCATGTATGTTTGGATGGATAACAAACTTCATATACGAGCACTATGTCAAATTAAACGTTTTCAGCAAAAAAAGCATTACGCTAAATCACAATGACATCATCGTGATGAGTCGTATTTTCTCAGGTCTTCATGCTAATCTGAGCAATCATCATCATCATGAGTAATTGCAGTATCTGCACAAATTCATCATTGAAAACAAACAAAAGCAGGTAACCTTTCAAGACAGAGACATTTGCAACGAGTACAATTCCAAGCTTAAGGATGGATGTTGCAAGATCTACTGGATTTTTAACGTCTACGTCTGCCTTGCATACTTATCTACAGATTCAATCCAACGAAATGTTTTGCTAAAGGACCACACTGATCAAACTTGACATCAGATGAGATATTGCAACACCGATTTACAGTGTCATTTCAGCACTTCATTTTGCATCCACCACTCATTTCCACACAGGCCCATCCTACTGATAATTAATTACAATGATATCTTCATGGGAGTTTTTCCGATCATTCAGCACACTTTCAGACCTTCATCCCACCCCTGTTCGGTCAAACCAATGCTCTTATGGCCTGGGCATATGGCTCCAGACACCCAGACCGAAGCGCCCCTGCCAATATTTTATGGATTATGTAGACTGTTTTTAAGTACGAGATTGTTTTTTTTTCCTTTTTTCATCTAGTTATGTAAATGCATGGAGCTTTCTGCCATTTACGGATCTCTGGGTGTCTTGAACTGTCGCCTTTTTCCCGTTTAATCAGTACAAATTCATTGCCAAGTTGCACATGTCCTACAGCGGCACTACCCCAAGCTTGTGGTAAAGGTAGCGTGCCTGCTGAAATATGGGGAATTAATCTTGAAAGAAATTACAGGAGCATTTAATGAACAGTAACATGTTATTATGAATCATGCCTTTAGTAGGAAGGTTGATGTCGCATACGACTTGTTTACCACTTCCGTGTGACTGAGAATGTTCTAGAACCGTACTGTGTCTGGGTGGAATTTTTAGATGTTGATTGAATAGGTAATAGGACACTGTAGAAGGCAATAGAAGGTAATGGAACATTCTAGAAAATTGTAGTAAGTTCCAGACTCATTATGTATGCTGATGTAATGGTCTATTTATAGACAGTGTGGGTATATAGGGGAGTTGTTCAGCACTGAGATCAGATCGGAGATCTCGTTGAATTGTATTGGAGTTTAAGTATCTAGTTATTGGAGTAGTAGAGTTTTACCGCGTTATTGTACTTGATGTTTGCAGAGTATAATAATACCAGTACCAGTTGAAACCTCATCTGTTGGCTCCGTGTTCGTATGTTATCATCGCCGCCAGGGAAGTCTTTTTGTTACTGTTGCCATTTTGGTATTTGAACCATCACACCTGTACTATACCGATTACGGTAATATTACGTTGCGTGCGACAGTTGAAAACACAACCTTACCATTTTACATGCAGGGTCAGGTACATTTTGTTGAAACAGGGCATCAAAGATTAAATATTTCATTTAATTTTCACAGAATTAACATTTTCAGATACAAATTGTTTTTTTTTTTGTAAACTATTAGCAATGCTACTTATTGGTATAATTTCATTCATTTCCACCCAATACCACATTCAACAACTGTCGGCATTAATGTTCAACTTGAGATCGTTTGAGTAGGAATTGCGACTGACACTGTCTTAACTTTTATCATGCTATTAAAAACAAAATTTTAAATCACATTTATAATATACTGAATCTTGTATTTTTTTTGAGGATTTTGAAAAATATATAAAAAACATTCGAAGAAATTAGAGAAAATCGCAATAAAAAATGTATAAAATCAGACTAGTGTAAATGAAAGCTCTATGTGGAATAACACCTAAACTATTGTAGCAATATAGGTCGAGCACACTGGAGTCAAAATACAAGATTTCAACTGTTCATGGAAACTTAACACACATGAAGTCTTATGACTTGTACTTTTTGTCTCGTCCCCATTGTTCTATGTTTCTTACTTTCGTTAGCAGACAGTTTCAACCTAATTATGCATTCTTGTTAACGGTACTGTTTTATCAATAGATTAACAAGCCGGCACTGTTAATAATGAATGGGTTAATTTAAATATTCATGAGCACAACAGGAGTGAAAAGCTGATTAACATAACAGGTGGCCACTGAATGAAAACAAAGAACAAGGTGGAATTTTCATTTAATTATTTAAATACGCAATGACGATTATACGATACATTTTAAAAACGTATTTCAAGTTTCCTATTTCCTTTTACAAAATTCACGGACACTTGGGAAGAATCGGTTATGACAGTGGTATTAGATTTGTCCTCGTCTGTTGGGGTGGTGGATATGTCATGCGTTTTCGCTTCCTTCGCCGTTTTCGGTTTGGGTGGCTGCAATGCGTCTGACACCGATTTCGTCTGCTCGTCGCTCGTCCGCTGTAGCTTCTAATTGCTAGACTGGAGTGACCCGTTCTTCTGCTATTAGCTG